TCAGCGTACGCTCTTGGAACACGAATGGAAGTGTGGTTTGGGCATGGATGCTCTGGTCAGCGTACGCTCTTGGAACGCGAACGGAATTATGGTTTGGGCATGGATGGGAGACCTATGAAAGTGGCACGTGCACAAAATGCTGCGTACAGCAGCACTTTTGGACCCTGTGGAAGCAAAAATGCGGGAATCTATCGCGCCTGCCAGCAATTTTGCAAGCCTGAACCCGCCTCAAAGTGTGCGTTTACACGGCTCTGGAGGGTATAACAAGGTGCAGTCGATTCGTCGATTCTGGATATGTTGTCAGGAGAAGAAGTTTGAAGTTGACAAAGAAGCCTTCCTGGTTGAGCTTCCAGATGTTTTGCAGGTGCCGTGTCTTTTGTCTTCCTCAGAAAATGATTTGCTTGAAGCCTGGCAGAAGTTGACCGTGGAGAAGCCTGCTGTAACTTTAGCTGACCTCCGCCACAGCTTGAGGCTGGGGGACTTATCCTCCAGAGCGGCTCGCTTGAGCCGACAGCCAAGGTTAGGGCAGAATGACTGCGCTCCGCCGATCGCAAAGGCAACCATAATCATCAGGTCACAAAGTCATGCAAGTTGTTAAAAAGTTGCAATGTGTTTGTGCAGGTCAACGGGAAGGTAATGATGGTTGGTGTAAAGGCATATTCTGAGGCCGGCTTTGATTCTCATGCTCCCGCCGTTTTTCGTTGGTCGAAGTGCGTGCAAGGAGCGGAACTCGATCGAGGTGATGCCAGTCCTAGACCCAATGCAGGCATTTTTACACAACATGCATCCGTTTGCGTCCGGTTGTGCGGCGATTTGCAGGGAAGCTCCGTGAAGCTTTCCGACTGTGAGTTTCTGAGAGAGGCCTGGGAAGAGGGTTTCTAGGAGCGAAGTAAAAGGGCGGCTTCATCAGTTTCGTCTAGAAGCGACTTCTTGGTCTCACCATTTTCTATAACCCTGAATGCGTGCCAGGGACCAGTTTGACGAATGCCAGCAGGAGTTCCTGGACGTGGAGCAAGTCGGACGGGTATTGCAGAAGCAAGACAACACGAGGTCATGCATTCACAAGGGGCCGAAGGACCGGCACAGGCAGCTGTGCGCGCCGAGCTGGTCGGAAAAGGTATGTTTTCTTTGCATGCAGTTGCGACCAATGTCCTGCGTTGACATGAGAGCAACGCTGTGTCAGAGTCGCTGGGCTGGCCAGTGAGTGATTAGCTCAACATGTAAAGACACGTGAGCCTTGCGGTGACCAACGTGTGTGCACAAGTTTTTCATCCGCTCAAGACACGTGTTACACGTGTTTGCAGACGGCTGCAGAAGGATGGCGTAATCTCGCCTTTGCGTCTCCAGCATGGCACGCTGGAGACTTCGAATGGAAGACTTCGGTCGGCGACAGGACAGGGCACAACAGGGCAGAACAGGGCCCAGAGGTGCAAAAGCACAGGAACTCGAGATTCGCTCAGGAGGGCAGCAATCGGACCAGTGAGGCTTGGCACCAGCCACGCTGGGCATCCAAGGCCTCGCTCTCTAAAGGCCGCGCCACATCACTATATCACACTGTAACATCAGCTGTCTGCTTTGCCTGGGCTTTGCTCAAGGTGACGATGAGAGGCCCTTGAGTAGCGTATCCACACGATGCCCCTCCTCAGCACGAGGGCGCCAATCGCCGACACTCAGTGCCGGAGCCTTCGGAGTCGCAACGTGCAAATGGCTTGGCAGCTGCGAAGAGCTGTCGAGGCAGAGACCCGGGCACCTTCCCCAAGCAGCTCTCCGTGCTCTTGGGCTCAGCCAGCTCCCCCGAGCTTAAGGGCCAGCAAGCCACTCAGCTTCCGTCTCAAAGTCAGAATGGAAATGTAGGGGGTCTTCAACGGGGGCTGAGGCAGTGACACTTGGGCCACACGAGTGGAATCAAAGCGGAGAGGCCAGGCATCGTGGACTATCAGTTTCTATCAGTTTGTGCGAACTGTTTGGCTGCTTGCGAATTGTTGTGGCTGCCTTGAACATCTCCCATTGAAATGAGCGGCAGCCGTATCCCTGAATCCCAAACATTTGCCGGGGGGGCTGGCGCCCAGAGTTGGCCACACTGCGGACAGCCAAAGTTGGGTGAATGGTTGCGCTAAAAGGGTGAGTGACAAGGTGGCCGCGACGGAACAGAATTTGTTTGTTTTGTGGTGGGAAGAGAGTAGGGGGGCTGGGGCAGGGGCCTGGGAGAGAGGCTGTGGCAGGGTTTTGTAGAGAGGGAGACGCCCGCTACTGTAGGCACCCTTATCATGCTGCGAGTTTCCAGCCTGCTGCATGGGAACTTTTGCGGTGCAGCTTTGTGAAGCCGAGCTCTCGTGATCTTGAACGGCTTGCAGCCTGAGGGAACAAAAATTGAGCTGCAGCCATTCCCGCGTCGTTACTATGCAGGGAGTGCTCGCCCACTGGGAAACCTTGGGGCATAGCAGTGGCAACATGCGCCAAAAAGATCGATCATGGCTGCCCCTGCTGGCTGGACTTTAGAAGCTTGAAACATGGGCTCCATTTTTGCCAGGGGCTTGCGACGCTAAATTCTCTGCAAAGGGCCAAGCCCTGCAGGACACGAGGTGTCTTCAGCAGAACCAGGAATCAAGTTGAAGCAGCTCTGATGGACAAGCAACTACAAGCTGAGGAAGCCTAGGCACTAACGACCTCATGGTGATTCGTTTGCCGATTGCCTTGTTTGGATGCCATTCTGTCCATCGCGGTTCGAGTCCTGTGGTTTGGTTCCACGAGCAACATAAGCGTGAGCTACAATGTGCACCTGTGAGTCCTTTCTGTTATGTGTCTTCGCTGTACGACTGTATGCGGGCATTGCCGGTACTGCCACAAACTAGTTCTAAGTATGCGCGCTTGGCTGAACATGTGCTCCATTTGTTGGCGCAACGAGCTTCTAGCTACTGGGATTCCCACTGTCAGCTGAGAGTGCAGGTGCAACCATGCTGCCTGCAAGCATCATGTGTCAGGCCAAGAGAAAGAGTATCCCGCAACCTACAGCATCAAGCCTGGAGATCTTGCAGGCTGATGGCTAGACCCACCAGATCATCCTCTTTGTTTCATCTCGCAAGGAGCTCTCCTTCCAGACTATGAACTTTGGGTTACCCTTCATGGTGGGAATGGCCGCTGGCAGCAGGCCCGCATCTGTCCGGCCTGCCTGTTCTGAAAAGCGCTTTCGTTCTTCGTTCTGTAAGGCTCGCGCTCAGAATCAATGGGCGCACATGCTTGTGGAGCATGAGGCATGCAGTACGAGAGATGCCAGCGGGCCTGTCTCCACAGCTGGGCTGGAAGGCTGCAATGGCTGCCAAGAAGCAAGAGGCTGAGCGTCAGCGGCTTCGGCGTGCAGAGGCCAAACCTCCTTTGAAGTTACAAACTGCCAGTCCTGTGCCTGTTCGTCGTTTCGTCGTTCAGAGTCGGTACTGACAGTGGAGGTTGCTCGCATTCGGCGCGCTGAGGAGGAAGAGCTGCGACGCCGAGTGGAGGAGGCCACAGCCTCAATCTCACAGGACCCCCTTGGTTACGACTGATCGGCGCCTATGTGCGTATGCAGATATTCAGTTCTTGGATGTGTAGATGTAGGTGCAGTGTGTGCTGAGGGTACCTCGATGTGAGTTTGTGTATCTTTGGGCATCTTAACCGGGCTGCTCTGCAGCTGTCTGCTTGTACATGTTATCTGGGCTGCTCTGCAACTGTTGGTGCAGCCGTCGATGCCTTGCAAAGCAAGGGTGCGCGTGACCCACAGGCAATTAATCAATCAATCAATTGGTTACGATTTGCCTGCCATGAATGCAGGCTGAACAAGACAAGCGCCGACGTAAGGAGGAAGAGCTCCGCTTGCAAATGCAGCGAGAGGACTTGTGTGGAACTTTAGTTTGCTATCCTTTGGTTAGGGCCCAGAGATTTCAACATCCGCACCTGACAGGAGGAAGCTCGCAGGGCCAAGCTGGAGGAAGAGCGACTCCTCGAGCTGATGCAGCCGCAAATTCAGAGAACTCAAAATCCCTGAGCAGCGCCTGAGTCCTTTTGCATGACCGTGTGAGGCCCCGAAAGTGCCAGAAGTGTGAGGGCACTGGAAGGTGCTCCAACTGCCAGGCCCAAGCTACAAAAGCCGTCGCTGAACCTCTTTAATTTTCAAGAGAGATTTTTGGTGCATGTGTTGTGCCTGGAAGGGAGATGGCTCCGTGGACGTGCTGTTCCTCGCACCCGCCGTGGGCTCCAGGCCCCTTGCGCAAAGTGCGAAATGGCAAAGCCATGCAAAGCCGCAAACTCTGGCACATGAGGCCGATGCCCATCCTGCAGGGCCGCCGGCCTCGAGGATGCAGGCGAAGTAGTGGCGCAGCGGGTAAAAGCTTTTCGGGAAGGAAAACGCCTTTCGCCTTTGCGTTTCGCATCACCTCCCCCAGGCAGTGTGGTGGAGCGGGCGATGGAGCCCTTCTGCGAGACTTTATTGCAGGAAGTGGCAGATGTGACATCTGCAAGGGCGAGCGCTTCATCAAACCACCCCCAGGCTCGGTGAGAGTTGCTGGGTTCCTTCGCGGGTGACTTCACTTGATTTTTAGCAGGTGGTTTCAAGACGCCGGCAAAAGCCGAGACACCCCGAAAGCCATCGCGGGAACCAGAGGCGAGATTGCTGCAAACGTGTTTCTTTGATTTCTCAGTGCTGTGCCTTCCAGGCAGATGCCAGTGCTTTGCCAGAATGAGGCCTCCAGGCCTCGAGGCCTCCTGCTGTGCTGCCCAAGGCACTGCGGCAGGGAGGTCAGTAGTGCTTGCACTGCTTGCAGCAACCAAACAACTTACTAAAGCTGTTAGTTAAGTTGAGCTGCCTTGTTCGCAGCTCCGTAGGTAGCAATGTGTTGATGTAAATCGCTTGGATCGACCAGCGCGGCCGATCTAGGAGCTGAGCAAGCCCTTAGCACAAATTGGAGGCAAGCCCACGGCCGACAGGGTTTTTCTGAAGTTGCAGGTTGGAGGATCCAGCTGCACGTAAATGCCATAGCTCTGGCTTTGTCGCCTAAGTGCGACGAGCAAAGCATCCATGCGGTACTGCTCGCCGTCCGTGGCTGCGACGGGGCATGTGGAAGCTTAAGGCTTTGGAGTCCTGATTCTGGACAATAGGACTGGATCGCATGAAGAATGTCATGCATGGAAATTTGCAATGTTCATCCAGTTGCGGGCATACCGTAAGAGCTGCATTCGATGGGCATCATGTTCTTTTAATTCTCCTCCGTGCTCCAAGCCGTCAGACTTCTAGCTTCCCATCCTATGATGCTTCCGCACTTGCGAGGCTGGTACTTGCAGGCCATGCAGTATAAGTAATCAAGACACATGGTTTGTATCCAGTTCCATCTTCATGTGTCAGGCATGCTTTGCACATGCAATGCTGGAGAGCCCACATCGGCTCCCGCAAGCGAGGCTATCAGAGAGGGCTTTGCAAGCAGTCGATGCAAAGCAATCTTGCTCGCGGGAAGGGGGTTTCTCTGCAGCACCTCTTTGCACGCATCTTCCTTGGAGGTGCGATCCATAATATCTATGATATGTATGTAAGTTTACTGGGTTCATGATTTGTTTTGCGCAGGAATCCGCACCTTCATATCTGCAGTATGACTGGGAAGGCCAACGATCGTTGCCTCTTGATGGCAATGTTTGTAGTTGCGGTCAGAAACCGGGAGGCTTCCTGGCAAACGCCTCCTCAGCTTTGCCGACCTCTTGCGTAGTGCTTTGTGGAGCAAGACCTGGCAATGTGGCTTGGCCATCTCTAGCAGGTTGCCAAACAGGATGCCAAACGATCGGACCACCGTAACTGCACGAAATCCATGCTTCCACAGATCCAGTTGGCCAAAATGTTATTTGGATGGAGGGAACCCTGCACAACCCGAAGTCCTACAAATCCCAGGTGCAGGACGTCCTCCGTGAGCAGCATGAACACAGACAATATCTTCTTCCAGCATTAGCATTAGCTCGTTTCTTCAAGGGTCTTGGGGTGGTTGAGCAAGCTCACAGATGTTCACAGAATCGTTGGCGTGAGATCTGTGACTTACATGTGTAGGAACACGCAAGTGACAGTTTGGGATGAAGTAGCATCGTGCCCGGTTTCTGTCAACGAAGCCGGTTGATGACGAGCACTCGGATCCTGCATCTCAGTAGAGATCTGCAACCTCGCACGGGCAGCTCAGGAGCAAATTGACAAGCACAAGAGATGCAATGATGCAGAGCTCAACTAGTCAACAGCCTTGCAGGCCGCAAATCCTTGATCCTGTCATGGGCCGTCCACTGGCGACATTCGGGTGAATGTGCCCCAACTCACATGTCTTCGCCTTGCCATTCGAGGAACATGCTGATGACACATTTCAGGTAAAGATAAGAATTTAAACGGGAAAACTCAGCCTGAAACAACACTTTTGAATTCAGTTCCCATTCGCCCTGCAATTAGCTGAAGAGTCACATGCAGACACGCATGTAAATTTCATCATAACTCACCCTTTCTTCTAATTGCCTTTTGAGGAACAGTTACATCAGGAAACTCAATTCAAACAGCGAAATGCTGTTCACCCCTCTTTTCTTGCAAGTAGAGGAATAATCACGCGCGGGCACTCTGTTGCAAGCATTGGAAAATTCATGCCTCTTCGTCTTAGGAGAAGGTGACACTTCGCACCAGGGAACTCAAATGGCCCGCGAGACCAGTATTTACGGCCAACGGCTTGCCCAAGCATTACTGCCAACATGCTCGTACTCTATTTCTCCTTGGAGTTGGGGGTTTAGCCGAGGGTGTTTCAGGCTTCAGGGTTTCCAGAGTTTCTGGTCTTTGTCGCTTTGCTTACTTCGTGTGGGTTGGGCTTTTAGGGTTTTGTCAGGGCATTAGACTTTCCGGATTTTCAGTTTTAGGGATTTAGGGGTCCGGGGCTTCAAACTTTGAACCCCTCGAGCTTTCTGGCTCTTGGTGCTTTAGGGCGTTTAGTCTGCGCTTTTGGCTCATCAGGGTCGAGTCTCTACGTTTGCTTTGTAGGACTTTGACTTGCGGTGCTAGGGCTCAGGGCTCATGAGAGTCTAGGGTTTTCTGAGCGTCTAGCGATTTGGCTTTTCATATTAATGTTGTAGGATTTGGGGGTTCAAGCGATTCAGGGTTTTGCGGTTGTCAGGCTTGGGGCCCTTGGGTATGGATTTTGGGGATTTGGGGCGTGTTTCGCAGATGTTTCAGGTTCCTGAATGTTTTTTAGCGCTTTAGGACATTCAGATTTTCAGGCTCTGAGGTTTCAGGGTTTGGAGAGCGTAGGGTATTTGGTGTGGAGCCTTCTTGGGGTTCAGGAGTTTTATGGTGCCTTTTTTCTTTGCTTTCCGGTCCAGGGTTCCTGCTGAAGTGCTTGCTTGGCCAGTTCCTTCTGATTTCCAAGAACACCTTGACACGTGCCATGAAGGCCAAGGTTCAAGGACCAGGGGAAGCGTGTCGCCGAGTTGGTAAAGGGCTACAGATCGTTCGCCCAGCGTCAATCGCCAACAATAAAATGCGAAAGTGACAATTAGGATGAATCGAATCTGTCAGGCTAAATTCAGCGTCCATAGCCCCTAAAGCGTAAAAGTATTCACCCTAAAATGTTGGGAATATAAGCTTGACATGCGCCAGTTCCTTCAAAGTCAACATGTCAGTTGAGACGCCTGGCATCGCCTAGAAGCCTGAACGACATCGGACGGTCAGGTGGGATCTACTCTTCGTGTCTGTGCTCTGCTGGGTATGCCTCTTCTCGTGGTCGTGGGCTTGTCCCGGGACAAGTGTCGCAAGGCTGGCACCAGCAGAGCAGCAGCCATCCCTTGTGACGACGACTGGTCTTGAGCAGGCGGCTGAGCTCTCGAAGCTCCAACCGGATGCAAGCCTGTTGGCTCCAGGCCTGGCTTCGTCGATTAGCAGAGCCTGCAGAGCGTTGTTCCGTTTGCTTCGAGGACGAAAAGTCTCGCTCGTCATGCCACCTGCAGATATGGAAGCCCGCGAGGCGCAGCTTCTTTTAGAAGTGATTTTGTAATGATTGCAACACGCGCCATCTGTAGGTTCTGTGCGTGTTGCAACAAGTTGGATTCACCTTGTTGGGCCTGACAGCTCACAGCATGGGCCTCATCATGCTGAGGGGCCACAAGAGTCAAACTCTAGCGATGGACTGACAGAGGTGGTGGGGGCGGTGCCAAGCCTATCTGGCACTTGAGACTGGCGCATCCGGGTGCTCACCTAAAAGCCTGGGGATGCCTCGGGAGCTTGCAGCCATTTGAAACCTCACGGCCAGATGCTGGAAGCAGGCGTGGCCTTTGTCTTCGGTCGGGAGCATGATGGTATCCCTGCAGATGCGGAGATGTTGCTGGATCAGGCTAGTTTTTTCTTGCAAAGCTACTGCTCAAATAAGAGGAGGGGGGCAGGTAGATCCCTGAGAGAGCTCAGACCAGGCGGCTACTATCCCCATGGTCGTTGATGGCGAGAAGGCATGTCATGAAGGCCGCACCCTGAGCAGCGCAAGCCAGCCCGGCAGGGCAGCCTCAACGTGTCCCATGCGGCGGCGCTCGTCTTGTACGAGCGGCAACGTCAGCTTTCGAAGAAAGACAGATCTGATGCGGTAAAAGCTTCGCCATGCTTCTGGTCCAAGCATTTACAGAGCTGCCTGCTCGCATCCGCAATTAGTGTTGGGGAGAGGAGGTGCTCTTGCAGGAAGCGGAGCAAAAAGCCTTTAGGTTTCCAGCAGTGCTTTCTCAACAGTTGCGCAAGCAGAATAAATCAAACGACCTGCACATGCACTTGTACCTGAGCAAGGCAGCATGACATGCTAATGTAACAGTACTCGACTCATCGAAGGGTCTAGGGTACTGTACATTGCTACGTCTGTTAGGTACGGTCTTGCTCTATTTTGTGGGCTACGTTGATGCTTCTTCCCTTCGGCTTCTGCAACTGCACCCTGCTTCCCCCAGCGCCTGCGTGCCATAGTCCATTTTTCACCATCTGGTTAAGGCTGAAGTATGTACAGGTAAAAGATAGTAAGTGTGCATCAGGTTTGCGGGGTACGAGGTGTGAGCTCCAGAGCCGTGACTTTCTGTCGTGACGCTGAATGTGACTAGGGGCCAGCCGCATGCGCGAGCCGAAACCAACTGTCAAGACCACATCTGATCTTGATACCACGCCCTTCCATGAAGCAGCCTATACAGCCAAGCAGAAGTCAAGCTTCCCGAAAGCTGAGAGTGCCAATAATTACATCCACTAGATTTAGGATCCCCAGATGCATACTGGGCAGAAGACTTCCTGCCTCTTGAAGCTGTTATGGCGCCAAAGAAAAAGGCCACGGGTGCAGATGGAGGCCTTCCTAGGCTTCTAGAGTCATGTAGAGGGAGAGGGAGAACCATCACGGTTCCGCCATTTTCTAAATGCAGGTTCTCCGCTGAAGAAAGCGAAAACAGGAAAGGCTGCCGTGTGGGAATGGAAGGCTGGTTCTTTGTACACGGCGGGAAAGCGCCGGCCCGGCTTGCGGCTTGCGCCCGCCTCCAGGATGGAAGCTCCTGGAAGGCATATTGCGATGAGGACTGAGCTGATGAGCAACCGGGCAGGTTTCTGGCAAGACGTTGCTCTCTTGTCACATCCATCTGCATGAGCTCCTGAATAGGGAGAAACGTGGAGAGTTTGTGTGGCACATTGGTGCACCAGCATGCTGGGCTCTCTTTCCTGGATGGAATTCTGAGTAGCATCCGCGCATTTTTGGAATTGCATCTGCGAGTCACTGCAAGCAGGATTCGCAGATGCCGGAAACTCGGTGCCTGCATGTGGCCTATGTGGCCTCAGGTTGACGTAGCCTTTGCCTTACCAGATCAGCGCCCTGCACTATCCTTCTCGTCACCTGCATCTTGGCCCGACCAAGCATTCGTGACATCAGCAAGAGAACATGCAGCACATGTGTTAGTCTGGACGCCAGCGAGCCCAGTCCAATGCATCTCATTGCTTATGGCATGATATAGCAACAGTCGGCCATGCGGACTCAAGATGACTCTGCCAGGCTGCTCCACAGGCATCATAGGGACATAGGGATCACGTAAAGATACGGTCCTAGTCTCCTAGTGCATCTTGTTTGAGCTTTGCCAGAAGTGTTGTTTACCAGTTTACCACTCACGTCCTTTGACTGGAGCCTTTGACTGACAGCAAGAAGGATGTTGGCGACCGCACGTGCGGTGTCCGGGTGGCCACATGCTGGAGGAGAAGATAACTGGGTCTGGCTTCATGGGCTTATGGGTCAAGGACCGACCGCAACTGAGCAAGACATGGCGAGAATTCCGGAAGCTGTGCCAATATTGTTCCAATAAATCAAGCTTTCGGTGGACAAAGCTAGTTCCCGTGAGTGCCTTACCACTTACAGAGCTCCTTTTGCAAACGTGCCTCTTCAATGCGCCTCGGGGCCACGGACAACAGAGAAACACTGCCCTTTCAATGTTGTAGTCCAGATTGCTGTCGTGAAGCTGTCCCATAGCCAACTCTATCCAGACTAGAGCTACGTACCAATCGTCGTTGTCTCTGGTCCCACTGAGCTCATGTTGAAAAGACTCACCCCACCCAGGTGGACGTCAATGTGAATTCTGTCACATTGTCTCGTCAGCGCATAGAAAGGGCAACAAGAAGCTAGCAGCTAGCGTAGTCTTGCCTCTGCTTGCAAGTGAGAAGTTGCAATCTCCTTCTCCGGCACAAAGGCAAACCAGTGCGTGCCCGTGTGCACGTAGCAGCTTTGACTCAATCTGCGAACGCTGCATCGGCTGAAGCGGTGCAAAGCCCTTCTTGGGTCACCTGCAGGAAGGCACCCATCTCTACACTCCGACAATCTCCATTGAAATTTCGGTCCAGCTTTCACGAGTGCGTTTGGCAGCGGGACTTTGATTGGACAGTTTCAACGGTGGTGGCCGCGCATCAGAGAACGTGGGGGTGGAAAAAAATGTAGCAAACTGAGCTTAGGCTCTGGGAAGACCTGACCAAAAGCGGGAAGAAGAGCCGTTGTCGAGTCTAGGCTGTTGTTTGAGCGATTTGAGACGAGCAAGGTGGGCAATCTTTGGTTGTGTATGAACGTTTGGACAAGGGATAGTAGCACGGCATGTCCAGAAACCAGGGCTGAATTCTGGGCTTCCCGCTCATTCCAGGACCAAAGAATGCCATGATTCCATGATGCATTGGTCGTGCAAATGTAGTTGTAGGCAGTTCCTATTGCCTTGGCCAAGCACTTGGCGGAACACTTGGCAGGAGGTGGTACGCGTATGCGAACGAAGAAAAGCAATGTAGCCTCAGAGACGAACCAACAGCAGAGAGTTTGGTTGCTGCGTGCAAGATGCCAATCATGTGCGCCGGAAGTATGCGGAAGTGAAGTCTTACTGTTCTTGGGGCAGATGTCCGCAAGATTGCACTTTGCCCTACTTGTAACGTGGAGGAGTGCCGCCGCTGCCAGCAGGTGGGCTGGCTCTCCTCCTCCGGAGCAATCGCTTGTAGACTTTGCCAGGCGCTCTCTCGCGGAATGACGCGTCACAGTTGTAAAAGGTGACGAAGGGCTCTGACTTTGTGAATCTCCGGTGGTTTTGACGCGAGCAAGATGGCAACATAGAAGTAGTCTGGATGTGAAGGTGCGGATACCACCTTTGTCAGACCTGCTGTTCGATGCGGTCGCAAGAGATGCTTGAGGAGGTCAGACATGGAGTCAGTTCAGGTAGCAATGTTTCAATTTTCTGGGCTTGCCCAGCCAGGAGATCACCTTGTCCATCTACAGGCCCCCGCAAGGTCTAATTCCAGGAAAGCAGCTGAGTTGACCGGCTACCACAGTCATTCCGAGAGCCCCAATACTTCTTTTGAGGATTTCAAGTCCAGGAGGACGTGTTGCAGGCTATCGTCCCGGCAGCATTGCAAAGTCATTTGCTTATGTTGAAGTCCGCAATTTCGAGTTCAGGTTCGGATCAAGACCGGATCCACTGTCCGCGCCCTCAAGGATGTTCTGCATGCACCCGTCAGCTCCGGGGTTTCATAATGACAGATGTTTCTGCAGGAAAAGATTGCCGAATTATACGGCCTATCACTGACTATGCAGGTCAAGCACATGGCCAAGTCCTGATCACTTCCGATCGGTAAGTTCAAGTGCAGGTGATCAAGCGCGATATAGATGCGAGGAGCTTGCGGGATGAGGACGCTGGCCCTTGGTAGTCACGAATCGGGCATCTTGCTCTGCATGCTATCAGGAACACGTTGAATGTGATGATGGAGATGTTCTTTACCTAGGCAGGGGCTGTGCAGCTGTGCAGAGGCGCGGACAGGGCAAAGATGCCAGGAAATCCTTTTGATGCAGCCTTCCCTGTGAACAGCGGAGAAGGCCTGAGAGGATCTTCAAATGGTGGGTAGTTGCCAAGCGTGGAAGGCGGCTTGAGCACACTGATATCCGAAGCAATGTCTGGACTTCAGGCCAGGCACATGTGGCACACAGCAGGAACATCCATCTCGAGATGTAAAGGCAGCCACCGGCTTGCTGGCCGACGCTGACCGTCAGTTGCAGGACCAGAGCGAGTGGCAGCTCTTGTACTTTGCTGCCGTCCTGTGTGCAGGAGTGGGCCCTGAAGGAAGTCACTCTGTGGCTCGACTGGGGTAGAATTGGATGAAACGCATGCTGCTTGCAATTCTCCTTGCTGTGCGCGATCAGGAATGTCGTCCTTCCTGGCCATGAACAGGCCCTTGATGTGAGATGGGCATATACCGGCTAGGGAAAAGCTGTAAGGCTGGCAGTATTTCCGAGCGGCGATGCAAGATGGTCGTCGTGGACTCTCAGCGCGAATGAATATAACAATCTTGCCGCAGTGGGATAGCCTTGAAGATTGCACTTTGCTAAGGCATCTGCAAGGATGTCGGAAGTGAAGGAGATGGCCCGGATCACAGTCAGGAAGCTGCAAGCATTCCTGGGAGCACCGGTTGTGCGAAATCGGCAAGGCGATGGTGGAGCTGGATGCTATCGGGCAGGACATGCGAATGTATCTTGCAGTGAAACTTTCAGCCTGCGATGTTCCCAATCAAAATCCAGTCACAAGACAGCAGGGTCCGCCGCAAGGAGCTCACGCTGGAGTTTGGAGGTGAAGCAGTGCCAGCTCGCCGCCTAATGCCGCCTAGCAGTCTCCATCAACCAACAGCTTGCCGTTTGCCGCTGGAAAATGGAAGCCCCAGGCCATGGCAACTGTCCAGATGCTGAATCTGGCCGATGGAGACACCCTGCGCCTCATTTCACTGTGAGCAACGTTATGCCTCATGCATGCCTGGCTCAGTGGCAGCCACGTTGCCGGATTCTTTGCGCAGAACATCAAGTGGAGTCTTCTGTGGCCTGGTCAAAGACTAAGTCAGGCAAGTTGAGATGTACAAAGTGTCTGTGTACAAAGAATACATGCTTAGCGGCCAAAGCGTTGCCTAGACCAGTGCTGGCCTTTCGAAAAAGAAGCAAGTCTGCAAAGTGCATGCAGCGCACAGCTTGAACGACACAGGTTGGAGCATCTATATGCCACCGTCGGGGCGAAGGGCAAGGTTGGGATTAGGCTTTTGTGCCCATTTCCTGCGCCACCACGCCACTTGTGAATAGGTGGTCACCACCGACTTCTCCTTTAACAAAGAGTACCAAACAAAATACGAGCTCAACTTCGCCAAGATGACGCAGACCCTTTGACAATCTTGGCGTGTCAGGTTTCTTGCGTGGAGAGCTTGGTGCAACCAAGGACAAACACAGAAAGCAAAAAGTCACGCACTGTTCGAAGAACAGGCGCTGTCAATTGCGAGCTGATTTCTGCCATCAGTCCTGGTACAAGCGGCAAAGCCCGTGTCACAAGTGTAGATGCTGGGCCAGTCAGGTGGCGAAGCTGCTGTGGTGAAGAAAGCCGACCCGACCTAAGTTATTGACGACATTGACGACTCCTCCTGAGTCTGATGCAATCAGCATTCTGCTCATGCCTCGCTGAGGTGTGGGAGTGGTGGTCAGATGAGGATGAGTGGGAGCCTTTCCAAGATGTTGATGCCCAGCTCTTAGAGAAGGCACGCCAAAGCTTATGACATACTTCGCGACCGCGTCGGACATGTCGGAGTCTCTGAAACACAAGTGCTGGATCCCCTCCCTCTGCCTGGCAGGCCTACGTTGCGGGAGAGACACCCTTCTCGACCAAAAAACTCAGCAGCTGGACCCAGTTTGCAAACCGGAAAAAACTAATTCTTGGCAGATCTCAGCAGCCTTTTTCCCGCCAAAGGCTGGAACGAAGGATACGACAGCTTGTACATCTTCGACTTTACCGTCATGACGCAGGCCTGCATCCATTCAACGCTGCATCCATTCTCTTTCCGTACACGATGACACATGTTTTGCCCGCCCACGCTTCTTTTGCACCAGTCTGGAACAAGAAGGTGTGGTTCACTGGTCAGCTTCCTGATGCAGACCTGTGCAATTGTCCACGTGAGGGGATCAGGACCTTCATCGCTACAAGCTGCACGTCAGTTCAGGGACTCAACAAAGTGCAGGAAACCACAACCGTCACTGAGAGGCAAAACTTAAGAAACGAAGCAAACTGGCACATTCAACAATCACCAGTCTCTACATGTCAAACACTGCAATTATCTGTATGTGGTTTTTGCCCAATCCATTTCTCTTACTGTACCCAACCGGCAGATGCAGGTTGTGCTTGAAATGCGGCCTTCAAAAGTTAAATGCAAATTCATCAAGGTTGTGGCTTCACAATTTCCTGGACTGTGAAGAAGCAGCGGTCAACAGTTGCGGTTCGCTCTCCCTTCTCACCAGCTACGTACGCAACTCACATTTCCCGGGTTCAACTAGTCTGTCAAAGATCCAACCTGAAAGCGGCCACTATCGAATGCGCAATCCATGCTGCCTGACGCAAACCAGGATGAAGCTTCATCCTTTCAGGATTCTTATTTGCCCCAAGGACATGCAGATTCCTGCAAATCTGGCCCATTGACCGGCTTCTGAGTAAAAGAAAGTCATGATTTCTTGGGAAAGATGGAAATGTGTGCTGTCTCTATTGATCTGCCTCGGGCATCCCACCATGCATTGTTCAGTGTCCAAGTTCATGGCAGGTAAACTGCGACAGCAAGACGTCCAGAAAGATACAGCACGGCTGCTAGCAAGAAAGCTACCTTCCTTTTCTTAACACAAAAACATGGAGCGAGGCGCACAGCTGCTGGAGGATCCAAGCTCTTTGGCCACAAGGATGGTTTGGGCCTGAGGGGACATGGCCACGGAAGGAAAGCCATAAGCCAGTGCCTAGGTGAAGACGATGGTTATGCCGGGGCTGTTGGGTTTATGTCGGACAAGCTTGGCGATAGCAAAGTCATGTTTGCTGGCAAGTGCGCAGCTCAGCCGCGTGCAAGATCTTTTGCAAGAAACTTTCTGCTAAGTTTGGAAGCAAGGCATCTAAAAGATTTGTTCCCAGGTTTGAGCCAAGTTTGGCGCCTGCATTTGTAGCTGCCCTGCCCTCAGCAAGCTTCCTACACTTGTGTACTGATTACCGTCATGAAGCCTCAAAGTGCTCCCCCCCCACCCCCTACAGTCTTGTAAGAAGTATGCTTGATGTCCTGTACTGCTGTAGCGTTTCAGGGGCTTTGCCTACATTCTGCACTTCGTAAGCAACAAATGCATTTCCGAACGCCATTTCTGTGCTACCTCCAGGACCGTCAAGAGGAGAGGCGGTATTCATCAAACAAGGCTTGCGCGGCTCGCGCAGACCCCGACAGCCGGGGGTCAAGGTGGTGGCAGTATGGCGCGGGCTGTTTCGGAGCAGCACGTATTTGAGAACGAGGTGACGGTAGGAAGAGTTCGGCTGTTGCGTGGGGAGGAATGGTTGGAGGTAGGCGAGTGCATGGGTAGACGGCCAAGGGGAGAGTGGGGGAGAGGGTGGTGAGTGGTTTGGTGGATTTTTAGTTGTACTTGTATCAATATTTCGGAACGAAGGCGACAGCCAGGGTGCAGTGCAGTCTCACAGCTCCATGGAGTAGGACACATGATTAAACCCAGACTGCCACTTTAGGGAGGTGTGTAAGTTTCTGTGCCCTCAGGCATTAGTGAGTTGGTGGTTGCTGTGTCCAGAGTGGAAGCGTGGGATTAATCGGGTATCGGGCCTCTGGAGTGCCGACTGGCGGCCCGCAAGACAGTTGGGCGTGGGGCAGTGCTCCGAGGGGGGTGCAAGGCCCCTCTAGCACCGGCAGAAGAAGAAGTGGGGTGAGTGGGTGGGTCGTGAAGACAACAGCGATCTTGGAGGAGGCTTTAACTCGAGGACAGAATCGGACAAGGGGGGACGGGCAGGGTGCGGATAGGAGGCCCAGCCTCTGGGGGCCTGCGTGAGACAGTTGGGGGAGAAGATTAGGCTATAAGGCTGGAGCTTCAACAGAGAATCAGGGGAAGTTGGGCTTCGCTGTGCGTTCGCCCCCTCAAGCCAGGGTTGGCAGCTTAGCAAACCCACCCCACAGTCCAACAGGCCAAATCTGTGGGCCTGCTTGATTTCGTGCCAAGATTTCGTGGCGGCTAACGATTCAAGCTCCAAAATGACACAGGGCAATTTCAAGAGCGAAATTGATTGACAACAGTGACGTCACCAAACATGGATTTTTCAATCAAAGCCAGGCATCCGAAAACCCACTGGCGATCCGACCATGTGCCAAGAGCGTGGCTGCAAACAAAAAGTGAGCACGATCCACGGGAGCGCCGCTGCAGACATGCACGTAGGGAGAGCTTAATTTGAGCACAACTGTGAGGATCCACGCGAGAACCCATCAGAATGCCTGGCAAGAGCCCGATTCGATCATGCCACAACAGTGGGGATTGTGACAGGTTCCTGAGGCGCTGTGGCCGTCGGAGGCATTTCCTTCACCAGCACACCCTCCACCCATGACCAATTGCTAGCAACAGTATTAGACCTCAAGACCAAAAGCTCAGCAGCACGGAAGCGCACACGTGCTGCTCCTCCTCCTCCTCCTCCTCCTCCTCCTCCTCCTCCCTCGTGGAGGGCCATGAAACTGACAGACACACTGACAACGCGCAGAAACCAGCGAGAGACCCTGTGCAACCCTCACCGAGCCCTAAATGATTTCCTGCTCGTAAAAGACGTAGCAAATGGGCATAAGTGAACACCAATGAGCGATTAGTGCTGATGATGCCCTGGGCCAGCGCTATCAGCATCAGTCTGTTTCCTCTTTTGCAGGCTTTCGGTATCTTCCGCATCTTCCGCAATGTGATTGCCGAGAAAAGCGTGCAAAATTCATTTCTTTCACCCCCTCTTGCAAAGCCAGCAGCGCACGACAGCGAAGCGCAAAGCTGGCTCCGGGATCGTGTGGAGCGGTTACCGCAGTAGGTGACGAAAGGCCACTAAACGGTATTTCGGCTTGTTCTCCCAGTGAGGCCACGATGAAATTCCCTTGCTATCAACATCCTGTCCATAGCAGTTACGTGAGCCTTATCTGGCACTACGAACACAAGCTCGACCTCGATTCCACAAGGCCGGCTTAGGAGATGCAAGGCCAGGCCCGAAAACTTCAACAGAAGATGGCTGAACATGGCTGAGGTATCTTTGAGTCGACCCCAAAAATCGTGGGCTCAAGGCCCAACTAGCTTCACGGTCCGTGTTCCGCCGTGGGTTAAAGTTAAAGTGCATGTCAAGAGTGTGAGGGATGCATGGACTCGTGGTTTGGTATGGGAATTTACAGTACGAAAAAGGCTTGCTTGAGGATGATTGCAATTTTCAGCAGATTTCCATGCAGAAAGTGAGGATCGTATTGGTTTTTGCTATGCGCATGGAACACGCACGAGATCACGGTTTGAGCATGGATCCTCCGGTAATGTTCTTGGAGCACCAACGAAATCATTATTATGGTTCGGGCATGGATGCTCGGGTCAGCGTATGCTTTTGAAACATGAAAGACATTTGGGTATGGGCATAGATGCTCTGGTCGCCGTATGCTTATCGAACGGGAACGAAATTATGGTTTGTTATGGATTTTATGGTCACGGTATGCTCTAAGCTCGCACGCAACTCCCCCTCGCAACACACTGAAAGCACCCACTGCGCTTTCAAATGTTGACTTGAACGCACGGCAGAATACACACTGTGCGCTAACTTCCTGAATCGTCTTCCTGGCTGTAGCAATCTGGACACGCCTATTTCTTCTTGCGGCTTCTGATCACATGAGGGGTGAGTGTGGTGCTATGCGGCGCGGGTGTTGGATGCTGGAGACGGTGGTCGCGAGCATGGGGTCGGGGGCGGTGAGGCTGCAGGGAGGGCGGTCGTGAGAATGGGGTGGCGTGGTGCGGCACGGGTGTTGGATGCGGGGTGCAGCGCGGTGCCTTAGGGAGGTTAGCCGAGAGATTGGTCGCTGAGGAGGGGTGCGGGTGTTGGTGTTCAGGGATGGTGGCTGCGAGGACTGGGTGGGAGGGTGGACAGGGAGGGCGGCCGCGAGGACGAGGTGCGGCGCGGCGGTGCGGGGGATAAAAAGCAAATGCACTGCTCTGGCGGGAAGGTTTTTGGGTTCCCGGGTTGACCTTGTTTCTTGCTGACGACTTCTGATCACATGACATGCTGCCAGCTCAGCCAAGACACAAAAAAAGATGGGAGCACAATCGCTCCGCAAGCAGAAGAAGGACAGAGAACCGCGGCCTGACCATGAGTTCATGAGCAAGCATTTTGTGTCATGCTTTGCCCCATCTAGGACTACGGGCCCATTGTTTCCAAAGATGAACATGGGAGGCCTGCGGCGAACCGAGCATGCTTGAATAAAGGGATTGCTGAGATAAGGAAGTGCTTCGACGAGATGCTGCACAATGAGAAGGAGTTCTGCGGCGAATGGGTCGTACACGGCTTAGGCAGCCGAGCCTCGAAGTGTTTTACGTTCTGTTTTTTTGAGGTCTTCTACCACAGCTACTCCAGCGCTGCCATGGGCTCAGCGCCTCGAAGACAGCTCTGAGGGGAAGCCAGATCGGAGCCGAGGCGCTGCTCTACGAGGTTCAAGCCGCAGTCGTGTGCAACCCAGAAGTACGCATGGTGTGAGTTGAGTGAAAGACCGGGCCAGTTCTGGCTTGAGGCATCTGTCCTGTTCCGATTTAAAGCCGAGTTTGCTTCTCTTCCTCGACTACTTTGCCAGACTCCAATACATGGACCAGGAAACCATGCAGCGTAGCTTCATGCTGCAAGGTGCTCCATTTCACCATATCCCGACTGCCAAGAGAATGCTGGAAGAGTTCCCTAAGTGGAAGGACTGGAGCCAGGTATCTGCAGAGCATTGCAGAAAGCTTTAATTGCTTCTTCCTTGTGCGGATGAGCGTTTACAAGGACCAGGACCACAACCAGGCACGTGCTGCATGCAGCGAATGATTGCAGCCCAATGGAATCTCAGAGCTGCACCTGAAATCCAGCCAGAGGCATTTAGATTGGTCGGTTTATGTGGCGAGCTGAGTTAGAGAAGGGTCTCCAAGATTTTGAGAGAGTCTTGGCATCAGACCAAGGTGGAACATCCTCGCTTCTGGCACATGACTCGGAAGCACCAGCAAAGCTTGACGCTCGGCCTCCACGGTTTCAGAAACTCATACGTTTCCTCGGAGACTGAGAGAGGTCGGTCTTCCTGGCTGGATACAGCGTCGGGCCTCTCAAGGCTGCTCGATAGAGGTGATGCTAGATGCCCCAGGTCCTCAGGTGTCTGAGATCTTGCTTCCAGGGGGTGCTGGAAAAGCTGCTGACGGGCTGTGGCGTTCCATCGGGGAAGGTCAAGGCCAGCCTGCACATGTATTGCACTTGCGAGTTGATGCGCCATGCAATAACGTTCAATATCTTGGCGTGCTAGTCAGGGGGCACAGATTTGCAGGGATCGTCTAGAGTTGGCCTGGTTTCCTGCTTCGCGGGACTTCTTGGCCTTCGCCTAGATATTGTGTCATGTGGGGTACACGGCCCCCGAAAGTTGCCCGCCTGTCTGCATCCGCTTCTTCACCAGACCGCCACTTCACTGCAAAGCCGTCATGCCAGTTATGTGCCATGTCTTCAAGGAGCCATGGTTCAAGCTCATGTTCGCGTGGCTCAAAGATAAAGAAAAGTGTCGCGAATCCCTGAAGTCGTTGGCCTTGAAGTAACCCTTCTCACATTACGAAGAACTAGGCCTTAGACGTTTTAGAATGAAGGCAGCTTCGTGTAGACAGTAGACAGGTGGCTAGGTGGCTATGAGCAACTCAAGCTTTGCAAGATCCTAAGCTTCTCGGATGCATAGAGCACAACTCACATCACAGCAACAGGCTGCTCCGACACCAACTCTTGACCCCGCACTGAATACACAGCCTTTCGTCCAACCCCTTCAAACAGGATATCCGTCTTGTGACTTGTCCTATCCGTATCCAGCTCCTGACAATCCTCGTCTATAGCAGAGCATAGCAGCCAGGGCCAAGGCTTTTCCAAAACGTTGGGGGGATCGGTTGGCTGTGCTTTTGCGGATACACCAAGCTGGGGCTATGGTATCTCAAGGATTACCAGGTAAACACAGAGATCTTTCCAGCGATCCTCACCGAACGTCCAAAGAAGGACTGTTCTTTAGCTATGTGCTCTTTGGGCTGTTCCTGCCCTTGGCCATCCTGAGCAAGATTGAGCAGCTACGCCGGCTATTATATAAGCTGGCGACATGCAAGTTTCTGAGCCTGGACGCGCATGTGACATGGCGAAAGTTGGTGAAAGCATGTGTTGGACCATGATTCAGACCCCCTCTGAGACACATTTCCATGCTGGCAGGTTGGACTTACGGAGGGGGGTAAAGCGATGTAGGCAAACACAACGATCGAGTCCTTTTTGTCAGGGAGAGCTTGTCCAGCATTCTTGCGAATGCGCTGTCCGCTGTCCACTTCTGAACCTGCGTCGTATGTTGTGGATCCTGCGCTGCATACGCAGTGGGCCAAGCAAGTGCTCTTTGTGTTTCGTGTTTAGATATGTCCTGTTCCTACGTAGGACTTGCAGTTCTGTGCAGCCCTGACTCATGCCAGAAGCTCGCTGCAGACATCATCGCGCTTGCAGTGAAGATGCCATCTCAGCTGGCAGATGTAGAGCTAAACATTTTCAGCAGACAAAGCTTAAGGTCTGGCCTGGACTGCAGCGGCATACCTGGCGGCAAGAAGTGCAAGTCTGCTCACTTAGTCCCTTTTCCTTCGCAGCCACGATTAGCCTTTGTGGAGTCACTTTGTGGAGTCTGTGCCAAGGTCGGGACGCTCGGGTCACATGTTGCAGATTTTTCTGAGGAGCTCTGACGTGAAAGTCCCTGGCAATGGCAATGTTTGAAAAACCGGCGCTTCCACTGGGCCAGGAGAGAGCTTTGCGATGAGTATGTTCGGGGCTTAGTTGTTCACAGTGAGAAAAAGATCGGAGGAGCAACTCCAGGTCTATCCTTCATTTCCTTTTGGAGTGCCGGACAAGAAGCGGATGAAGCCCTCCTTAAGCAAGTACCTGGCTGAGGCCCGTGAGTCAGCGAGTGAAGTTAATTGAGCCAAGCAAAAGTACAAGAGTCACAGTTTTGTGCAAACGTGCTGGTGTGGTTATGTGCTGTGAAGCTTGCAGAGTCAGCTTAGCCCGGGCAACAGGATGTTGCGATAGAAGGGCAAGTTCGCATCACGTTGAATCCCGATGTGTTCTTGAGAGCCGTGGCCTGAGCTTCAATCGGAGGGAACCTGCATCGTGTGTCTGGATGGGGATGAGGCAACCACGGCGAGAATGTTCACCTTCTCGGCTGCCTGCCCGGCAAGCTTGCTGTCAACAAAGGCTGCCGCCGCTTCTCACTTGCCAGGATCCAACCTTCCACAAGCTCGCGACCCACATCCAAGCAGAATGAGCCATGCCTTTGACCCTGTGTCGTTCTTTGCTTTGATCCGAGGAATCGCCCAGACTTTCAAGAGGAGCTGAAGCCACTTGACATCAGTTGATTCCATTGCCACACTTTGCGGTCGTGTGTCCAACCTCACAGGGTTTTGTGCCTGAGCCATCCTGAACCAGAGACAATAGGGTGATAAAAAGTAGGAAGACTCAGCTAAGTCCAACTATTCAGAAAGCTGGATCTTCAAGCATTGGTTGAAGTACGCATCCCCTCGGAGCGCCCTGGATGTGGGCTCCACTACTCAAGGATCCTGGTTTTGGGCTGGGGCCTAGGGTAGATGTAGCGATCACAGTCATTTGGGAGGCTACAATGGAGAGCCAATGTCGCGTTGTGGCTTGGGTTCAAGTTTAAGGTCGCCTGCAACTTTCAGACATGTGGTGGTATTGGATTGATGCTTTTGACAGTCCCCTAAATCACGGAGTGCAGAAGAAGGGTGGTCCTAGTGCAAATGGACCAGAGCCAATGCTCCTAGCATGATCAGATCCCTCCAAGTTGCCTTCTTTGCGCCCAACTGACTCTTCGATGCCAGCTTTTCCAAAGCCGTTGGAGGAGGAAGATGAACAGCTACAAAGTATACAAGAACGACATGGATCGTTCCCCCTCTCTGCAATTTCAACATGCAAAGTCACGAAAGCTCCTCGTGAGAGCAATTTCTGTTCAAACATCCCGAGCTTGTGGGGCTGGGAAGGGGTCTGGTCGGGCGGGGTGGCCAAACGACCCACTTTTGAGATTAGACTGCAGCAGGGGAACGGTATTGGGGTTGCCCACCGGATAGGAAATGTCAGGAGTGTCTAGAGGACGATTTTGGGTATTGCGCGGCCCGTGAAGCGGTTGATGCAGGCCCCGGCAGGCCTAAATGGCTCTACTCGGCCCAATTGCGCCTCACCGGGGCTTCTTTGCGGGCCTAGGGTCTAGCTTCTGTTGCGGCTGCAGGCAACCTTCAGTATGTGCTGCGCATTGCTGCGCATAGTCGCTCTTCCAGTATGGTTGCTGCACATGCACGAGCTTTCCACATTTATGCATGTGGCGAGAACAACCAAATCTTTAAGCTCAGCGTTTGCAGGTCATGTTCGTAGGAATAAGCACTGAGGGCCGAGCTTTCGTTTCCGCAAGTTTGTTGCTTTGAAGCACTCCTTACCTTCCCAGCCGCAAACCCGACACAATCTGCGACGCTCGAATCTAGTGCTTGCTAGCTCTGCTGCTGTTGTTTTTTCCTCTAGGGAGGCAGCATCAAAAGAGAAGGTCACTTTTGGAGCCGATCCTCGGGACAGAAGCAGTCCGCAAAAAAGCAGTCACTGACTCAGACTCCTCTTCGCAACAGGCGGATCTGAACCGAGACAAATCTCGCATGTGAACCCCAGGCTAAGGGCATCTTCGGAGGTGATCCACCGGAGTGGTGGTCTGCAGAGGAAATGCTGCATCTTCCGGATGACGTGCTGTTGGCATTTGCGCCTTCCTGGCAGGACCAGAGTGACATGGCCAAAATGTCAAAGGGCCGATATGCGTCCTCCTCATTAGACTAGACTGAGAAATCAGTTTGTGCCCAACTTTAACAACAGGAGGCAGGCAGGAGAATGAACAACAAACAAGAGTCGATCGCAGCTTGTCAGATTCTCCTGCAGCTAAATCCCGTCAGCCTTGAGCAACAGAAAGCCTTTGACAAGACATGTCCACCACCGGTAATTGTGCGAGCAAGTCGCATTGTCCGCGTGGACTGCGGTGTGAGGTACAAGCTTCACAGCTGCATGTCTCTTTGTCAAGCTTTCTGCCTCGCAGGTTAGATTGAGACAGATCACCGCGAGCGCTTGCTGGCACGGAAAAGAAGTTACGGGCGCATGAGCACCAGCGGCCGATCAACACAACAGGCGTACAAATCTGTCAGTTGAATGCGCTGTTGCTGTTCGGCTCGCAGCCGGCAACGGGACATGTCGGGCTACGGTGCGAGCCTCCATGGACTCTTGGGTCATCAAGGCGAGAGCCCGCGGGAGAAGGATGTAGATCCTTCAAATTTCCAACAACTGCTTCGCCAGCTCCGAGACCAGTCGGTGACACAAGGAGATGTTGCTGCGCTTCGGCAAGAGATGCTGACGCTTAGAATGGTGGTGAATGTGGCAAAGACAGAGATGTCCGTGCAAATTGAGCAGGAAGTTGGCGAGGCCCTTGGAAAGGAGCGAGCAGAAAGAGCCCACGCAGAGCGTCTTCTAGAAAAAAAACTGGCACTTCTCCCACCGCAGCTGCATGCCCAGCAAGAGGACGTGGAGAAGCTCAAAGGCCAGGAGAAGAAGCGTTTCACAGTATGTCTCATGCATGGGGCGACAACTGTATGCCCTGTATGCTTCGTTTGCAACGCAGGCTGCTTGGAGTCACACGCGCAGACGGTGCAAGAGTCGATTGACAAATTGGCCAGCGATGTCCGGCGCGATAGCCAAGACTGCGCCAAGGTTTGCCTTTCACTTTTTCGGGTGCCAAGGGTGCTGCTTTTGACGAACATTTTGCAGGCTCTGGAGAAGAGGCTGGAGCAGCTTGAAGAGAAAGGAGGCAGCTCAGTTTGGAGACTTGCGTGGGCATGTACCTAGCATCAATTCCATTGTTTTGGTTTTTCCTTTCGACTTCAGGCAGAGAGATCAAACAACTGCAAAAGGCCCTCAGCCCCGCTGCACAACCCGGGCCTTGCAACATCTATGCCGCCAGGACATGACTGGGCAGATGCAGGGTCTACAGGCTACGCAGGTGCGAAATTAATTTCAGGTGTTGAAAGTCCAGTTATTAAGGGGGCAGACGCAATGAGCGTAAACCACCAGGCGCCCTAGACCCTAAAACTTTCGCGAAAACCCCAGAACACTCACAAACTAAAACATGATAAACTCCACAAATTCATGAAACTTGCAAGTTCCATGAAGGCTTCAGGGAGTACTCCCGGCCAAGCAGCATATAAGGACCCAAAATAGAAACCCAGAAACGGACCCCCATGCCTGCGGCAGCAAACCGAGAGCGTTGCCCGATTCAGGAGCTGCCGGTTTCGGGGTGGGTTCCTGAGGGGTTCCGGAGCGGAGAAAACATTTTTGAATCGAATCAATTAAGAACCAACCCACTGCAACAAGAACAGCTATGGCAAGTTCAGGTTTTGGGGGTAAACGCAACATACCACCGTTGAAATGTAGATTTGCAAGAGCCCGCTCGTAAACCCGGAGTTGGCTCCCAAACCCAAGGGCCGGAGACCCCATGGCTTTGCTGTGGGGCAAAAATCCTTAGGGAACCCATTAGAAACCCAAAAACCTTGAGGAAACCTGCAGGAAACCAATGCAAATCCAAGACCCTGCCAGGGCAACCCAGTCGAAACCGCTTTGGGAATCTACAAAAAGTTAGCAATAGATAACATTCACTGAGGCAGGGATGGGCGGAACTCCGCTCCGTAATTCACTAAGGATCGAATGCACGTAGCGCTACTTGTGTTCAAGGAGTTTTCCTTCTGGGGACTGCAGCATAGCATGTTGCCCATGTCAATCCAAAAGTCACTTTTTTTACTTGGGGGGCTCATCCCGAATCCGTGCCATGCGATTCTGCAATTCGAGCTTTAGTGGGTTTCCAGTTTTGCGAATTCGCACGTCCTGGTTTCCGAATCCACTGGATCTAGTTTACGAATCCCAGTTTCCGAAACCCAGTTTCTGAGTCTTTGAAGCTGTTATACCGTCGCGGAGCGTGGCGCTGCCAGCTCTTTGGGTCTTGATGTTCTGGGTCTGGAGTTACGCTGCGCTGACTTTTTAAACAGGGAGTTTCAAAGGCGCTGTAACCATGATGTGGGCCAAGCAGCACTCAACTACGCCCCAAGACCTCCCCGCTATGGTCCACGTGCTAGGAAGCTGCCGCGACAGAGCTGCGGAAGACATTCGATACAGAACTCGCCGGAGTTCAGGCGGGGTTACATATAACATCGGTTAAGATTCATGCGTTAGAGTGCCCCTACCACAGGCAGCCTTGCGCGAGAGGATCTGTGAGGTTCTGGAGCGCTTGCAGTCACCTCGGAAACTTTGGGCCAGCTATGAGCAGCTACACACCTTCCTTCCCTCAGGCGGGAGCTGGATGCGCGCTTGTATGAGCAGAAAGGAGATCTTGAGGCACGAGTCTTAAACTACATGAGGCACAGGAGAGTTCTCCCCTGGGTGTGGTTAATGCTGTACTTGACTATTGACAAGGCCAGGTGTGTTTGGGGATGTGTCGTCGGAGTGCTTGCAGGCTCTACGAACTCGGCAAGATGTCAATTGCACCAATGTGGAATCATTGCAGGCAGCTCGTCTGCGAGGTTTTGATTGGAATGCTTAAAGTGCTGCGTGCAGCTGCAGGGAGTTGAGATTGCAAGACGCTTCATGAAGGAAGACGTCAGACAACGCAACAGCATAGGTCACAAGACAAAACGCTTGTAAAGTTCTTCCTTGGCCGGGACACAGTCCCGAACTTTGCATCCTTGCTTTTCGAATCCTGACATGGCAAGGCTTTCGCTGCGATTTTATGCGGATCACTTTGTTGATGGCACTGAAAGCCTTGAGAGGGGCAGGTCCTCTCGAGGAACTGAACCCGCCAGCTTCAAGCGAGCTCATTGCTTGTTTACGCCCGCCCCAACAGCAAACCCCCTCCACCCTTCCCCCCCTCCCTGCCCCCAGCCCGCCCATTCAGCAAACAACAACACGCTGCTTGCCCGGAGGCGTGTTTCTACGGAAATTAGGCTCTGGCGTAGGACGTCCTCTGGCGTAGGACGTCCACATTTTCCCGCAGGATGAGCGTTGTTAAACTTTCATCATGGAATTGCACTCTCGCGTGGAACAGTTTCATGTTCGCTTCAAATCGAGCTCTCGTGTGGAGGGTCCTCGCATGCTCAATGGGAATCACGCTGTTGCATGTCGCGTCTTCGCACTTTTGCTCCAAAATGATTTTTCGCATGAAGCGTCATTGCATTTTTGCTCAGAATCGCTCTCTTGTGTAGAGCGTCCTGAAAAACATTTTACCAAGTCCATGTTTTCCCACTCGCGGGGTTGCGCCTGCAGCTGTCTTCTACAGGAACATGGTTACATACTCTGATGGAATATATTGATATTGATGGATACCATCGTTTCTTTATTTGCTGCATATAAACATGCGGGTGCAAGCCCGCCACCACAATCAGTCCAAACTCGTTCATACATACATATATACATACATGCCTACATACATACAGACAGATATACCTTCATACATACACACATGTATATGTATATGCATATGTAGATGTATACGGATATGTCTGTGTATATGTATATATATATATATGCACACATGGGTATATATGTATAGATGTGCTGTGCATAGCCCATTTTTCTCTATGTGTTGCCTATTCTTGCCAGAGGTTGTATTGGAGTGTAGCATTTTTGACAAAGATCACCATATGTGTGCTGCCATTTTTGACGACCCCTTGCGCAACCAAATCCAATTATTGTGAAAAATCCAGGATGCCATTCCACAATTTTCTATAGGGCCCATCCATGCACTACCCGAGTTATTTTTTTGGGAAGGTCATGCTGCATGAATATCGCTGTTAAGGTGCCGTACTGCGATTCTCTGAGATTGGGTTCTGATAATTATGCCCACTATGTTGGGGGAGGCCTCCCCTTCAATAGATGCATCATGTGAATCCAGGACCTAGAGCCCCATGCACTTTTTAATATGAATCGCGAGAATATGGATAGCATTGTCTCCACAAGGTACACGGGTCATACTGCGGCGGCCTCACTCAAATTTCGTATCAGCAATATAAGTTCCATCGGATCACCCGCAACCCAACCGCTTTTATCAATACCGAGCAGAATGGCTGCCATCTTTTGGGCCTTAAGCCCCAGCTTGTTTTTGCCAGAGGAAGCACGCAGCCTAGCAGAGCAAATCCCGTCGAGAGTTAGTTCCCCAGAAAACCCTATGTGCACAAACATGTTCGTCCATGCTTTGCCAATTGGTGGCTGCCCTCCCCAACATCCTGCTTTTGCACATATGCACACATGGGTATATATGTATAGATGTGCTGTGCATAGCTCATTTTTCTCTATGTGTTGCCTATTCTTGCCAGAGGTTGTATTGGAGTGTAGCATTTTTGACAAAGATCACCATATGTGTGCTGCCATTTTTGACGACCCCTTGCGCAACCAAATCCAATTATTGTGAAAAATCCAGGATGCCATTCCACAATTTTCTATAGGGCCCATCCATGCACTACCCGAGTTATTTTTTTGGGAAGGTCATGCTGCATGAATATCGCTGTTAAGGTGCCGTACTGCGATTCTCTGAGATTGGGTTCTGATAATTATGCCCACTATGTTGGGGGAGGCTTCCGCTAGAATATTGGACATGGTAAATACAAACATGTTTGTGGAAGCCTACATATTCTCATCTTACTTTATCATTTACAAAAGGGGGGAGCTGCGTTCACTCCACTAGTTCTTCAGGGCAACCCCCTGCTATATTTGTGAGATTTTGTAAGCAGACGTGGTGACATTCTCAACGC